AGTTAATAGGCCCTTGTTTTATAGGCCAGAGGATCCCATACGCTGAAGAAGTCATCCCAATCGGTGATGAGTGTCGTTCTAGGCAAGACCTCTGAGGACGCCGTGTCGAGTTTTATAAAAGCCACATGTGATCACGAGAAACTCTGGAGAAATCAAAATAAAGTGGTCGATTACTTCAACTGCTTTCGAGTCACTGCTTAAATAAACCGCTGCCAAGCTTTGGGGTGACGAGTGCTTTCGAGAGGCGTCGAGCCGCACTACTTCTCTTCTATACTTACTTAGTGCTACCTCCTGCTCGCCGTTAGCGTCCATCATATTCCCGGGAGTATAATCTCACAATAATCGAATCATCTATGGAACCTAGGTATTTTCGTCAAGGATGAGTCTACTTAGCAATTGACGGAAGCTCCCCTGACAGAGGTCAAGTCTGGAAAGCGGTTTAAATGGGCATACTAAACTTAGACACAGGAGCTAACATTTGCGATGAAGGTTTCAATAACTTTCCTTCTCTATGTTTTATACGTTTGCCTTCGCGATTGAGGTGCCTTGGAAGTGGTATGCCAGAAACTTCGCGCATGACAGGCAAGATAATTGCCATGGAGCAACTCGAACTCCGTCTGCAAGGAAAGAAAGTCAAATTGAACACAACGCCTGCAGCGATGAATAAATACGAAGTCTTTTGAAAGTGGAGGTGTTGTTTCTGCTAAGGATGATCGGCCATCTGCAACGGTTTCTTTCTTACCACAGCGGAAACACACCCAGGGGTTTATGACGACAAGTTTATGAACTGCCTGCCTCTGGCAGTAGTTCAGGGTTGAATTTCGGGGCTTTCCTTGTTTATTCCTTGCTGGAATCGCTGCGTCTGTCTTCAATAAACCAAAGACAATGGCAAACTGCAGCATCACTATGAGGCTTGGATGCATTATCACCTACACAAGTGTTCCTCACAGCTCTAGACTGTAATCCTTTTGTACAAACGCTCTCCCAAACTTTGGTAGAGGGAGTTAAATAACGACATCATAAGATGAACGACATCATTGTCGGCTACGTCGATTGAGTTCACATAAAGTCTGCCATTCTTATAGACATCTCGTGTCAACGCCGTGAAGTTTCTCATCGGGGTGGCTTCTTCGATATCTGTTCAAAACACGACGAGAACTTCGGCTATATCTTACGTGAATGACAACGAGGTCTTCTCAGGTTTACAGATCAAATCAAGTTGATGGATCATCTGTATACTAAGCTGCAAAGAACTTTGAGCTCTAATAGGAACACCGCAACTAGGCGATGCCCAACACGCCTGTGATGGAGGCAAACATTGTCGGCTTCTGTTCTTGTGTGTTCTTGGGTATTGGATCCTTCTGCATCTGCTTTGTCTTCGTTATGACCGTATTACCCCGAATACATTTATTAATGGAACTAGACTAAACTCAGCCAGAACTTGACAGCACCCATACATATTGCATAAGAGCATTCCCCGCAGCTACGAAAAGCATCCTGGCTCAACCTCTCATACATGAGTGACATGATTCCTTTCAATTGAGACAAAACTTGTGCCGAACATCTTTGACAATTCATAACAGGACCCAACTTCCGTTTTACTGGGGTCGGGGAGCAACAGCTCACTTGCCCCAAACAGGGGATCATCCTCGTGCGAAGAGCGCCTGTATTTGGGTTGAGCCGACCATATTTTTGACTTGACGCCATGATCCGTGACAAAACCACACTGCTTACACTTTGTAGCAAGCTACCAAGATTGATTTAAACGCTAAACATGTCATTGAACACTCGCGAGGTCGGAAATCATTCATTCACCCTTGAACAGCTCCAGCAAGATGATCTTAACTTTCGTAAATATCAGTTATAAATATCTTCATGAAGCAAATGGAGTCTCGAGACGACAAGGCAAGGATACTTCTTTTATGTTCGCCGGTAAGCTATCTCCACGGCAGAGTAGTCGCTATTCAAAACAGATGGTGCCGGTGTTTCGTACGGCATCGGGACCTTTCCAATAGAGACCTTGTATCTCCGTTGTCCGGTTCTACCGCGTGTACTAGCCACCAACTACGGGTATGAGTCGCAATCCAATACATGCCGACTCCCTGCGTTTTTCGAAACAAATCCTATAGGTTTACACATGTCGACAGTGTGGATGATTCGCAAAGCTCGAGGGACTAATTTCAATCCAATACGGTGTAAGAAGAGTGATGGCGTCGCTTTTGTAGTGATATATATTAAAAGACGTTTGTTTGATTACCATTAGCCGGTATGAACCCTGCTCAATATGATATTCCCATAGCCACAGAGTCAGAGCCTAAGGAGCTTCCTGGAACTTCACTCAACGTATTTATATATATCTCCTCAATGGAAGACAGGTTTTACGTCCACAAGTTCATGGGTCACGCGACAACTCTGACCAAAAAGCGAGCGCGGGGTTGACCTCATTGCTCAGGGGCATCCAATCACGCTGGCTTCTCCAACATGCCAGTCATTGCTACTCCTATTACGCGTTTTATTAGGTCTCTGTCCCGTAGATCTTTCTGCATATCCCTCAGGAATACTCCCTGGCGCTTATCTTTTGGATATCAGCCATGGGTGTGCAGGAATATTTTCGGACAGTACTCACAGTGTGATCATAACCATTTTTGGGGCTGGAGCCCTTATTCTTGCCGAGATCATCTTCATCATCATCCCATTCAGCTTTATGTATGCTAAACAATGAGGAGCATTACCATCTTCATTACGCGGTATCGATTTTGAGCAACCGGTATGCTCATCATTCAGGGCTCTTTCCAATCTGATAGTGGTTCTCATACTTGCCATTCTGATACAGCGGCACTTCTTCCATTTGAAATTGAAAGTGTCTGACCCCCGACTGATCAAACGGTCCCGTTTTCTCATCGTCTGCCATCTCGGAGCGTTCACGGAGGTTGTGGCGTACGTGAGATGCTCCCGATGACCACTCAAACCCGCTGAAGAGCTGCATATAAATGGCGCAGTTCACGCATATCTGATCTATTACCAGACAATGTCATCTTTCAGCACTACAGATGTTTATGTTACAGTACACAATGGAAAGACCAAAGGACCAGCATGTTTGTTACAAATATGCAAGAGACACCCGCCCATCGCTCCCATGTAGCCTTATCGTCCAGCGTCTCCTCAGCTTGGTTATTTGGCAGCAATACGGAAGAGAAGCCCATGCCGACCTGAGAAGCTGCGTGCTATGGTGAGGGTGATGATCACTGATAAGCCAGTCAGTAACAGGATTCCCATCAGTCACCCCATCTCCAAGACCCAAAACATTTTGGGCCAGCAGTATTGTCGATAGATCAACTTCGAAATATATGACTTCCATAAACAATGTCTGCAGAAATGGTAGGCCTGAGCTGCAGAGCGTTCCTTGCAATGCGCGAGTAGACGGGCATATATGAAAGCACTTATATCAGTCCCTATGCTACCATAAATCTGGATGATCTTGATTTATCATCCTCGCGAGCGTCACGTCAACTGGCTGAAAGGTAATCTCAGAGATCTTTATAAAAAGCTCGTAGTCTATTTCCTCCATTCCCTCGAGCCATCTCTGATCGTGATCTTCCTAATTCTATCGATCCAAATCCGCAAATCGTAAACTTTTCCCATCCAAGAACACCCATCATATCGAACCCACCCCTACGCCTCCAGCTTCTCCTCAGGCCACCTCACCTCATACCCACCAACCGTCTTCTGCACCTCCAAATCACCGGGGTCATTCTCAAAAAGCGGCTTCTCCATCCTCTTATCCACCACCTGCTCGACCACAAACCCCCTCTCCCGGCACACATCAAAGAACGCCAAATCCTTGTGCCTCAACCACGGCCGGTAACTCGTGAAAAACACATACGCCACCGCGTCCCTTCTCCTCGCCAGCGCCATCTCAATCGTATCCACAAGCTTCCCGTGCTCCGAATGCCTAAACAGCAGATCCGCCAGCACCAGCACATCAAACCTCGCCCCCTCCCCTTCCCCCAGCTTCTCAAACAACGGCACCACGTCCGCGCCCCAAACATACCCCGCCGGGACCACCACACCTTCCAGGTCCCCCGCCTCGTCCACGTTCTTCTGCATCGTCTGCACAATCTCCACGTCCGGGAAGTCCGTCACCACAACCCTCTTCGCGCCCAGGATCCCCGCCGTCAGCGAGGGCAAGCCCGCGCCCGCGCCGAGCTCGAGCATCGTGCGCCCCCGCACCCGCGCCGGCTCCGCCTCGAAGTAGTCCGAGACCACGCGGCTGCCGTTCCATAGGTGGTGCGCCTCCGTCGGCGAGTAGCCGACCAGGTGCAGCGTGAGCACGCGGCCCGAGGCGAGCGTGTGAGACTGCGTGGTCGGCGGCGGCGTGGGCGGGTAGTAGTCCTCCGGGTCCTGGAAGAGGTCGCCGGTGTCGCCGTCGGCGACGTCGCTGACTGGGCTCATTTTTGGTGAGAAGTTGGATGGAGGGGTCGTTGATGGCGGGGGAGGGGCAGAAATTTCGTGGACCCCGCGATGAAGGACTGTGACGTGATTTGAGACCTCGGTTGCTCAGCAGGCCTATTGATTTGTCTGTGTGACTCCAATGAGTCTAGTGAATTGTTAGAAGTGATATGAGTGAGATTTGAGCAGGGACTCTCACCTAAGTGTGCGTGGTTGTGGTTGTGAGAAGACGAGTCGGGTTTTTCCAGACTTTTTTTTTGCGATGAGGTGGTTGTGGGTACAGTGCGCGCTGCCCCTCCATCACCCCTCTGGTTCACATAAGATAGATGGTTCTACTGTGCGAGCGCTTATCTCGCACTCAACCAACTCCAGACGAAGATCGACTCCCTGAGAGTGGCATCAAGCCTGAAATATCTTGAAATAATGGTCAGATTAGTTGTACTAAGAATTTGAATGCATCGGCTCCATGCCAAATGTGCAGAACAACGCCTCCTTAATGCTATTAAAACGCGCGCCCCATGATGCCAATAAACCAGTAACGATTCTCCGCCTCAACCAAATCTCTGCTTCGCCAGCTCCTTCAACCCCTTCATAACCCCCTCCTCCCTCTCCCGATACTCCCTCACTCTCTCCTCCCTCTCCGCCGCCCTCGCCCTCGCGACCTCCTCCCGCCGGATCTCCCTCTCCGTCTTCTTCCGCTCCTCCCGCGCCTTCATCGCCCGGTACTCCGCCACCGAGTCCCCGCCCCCCATGAGCTCCTGCTCCCCGACCTCAACCTGCCCGTCCCCGCCCTTGTCCGCGAACCCCTTCATCTTGTCGTTCACCAGCGCCCGCTTCTCCAGCTTCCGCTCCCTCGTCCCCGCGTCTGCGCGCGGCACCAGCTCGTCCAGCCGCTCCCGCTGCTGCTTGCGATCGTCCTTCCTCTGCGCCCGCAGATCCTCCACTTGCGCCTCCCGCTCGCGCTGCGCGTCCTCGGCGAGGTTCTCCCGGCGCAGCGACAGGTCCGCGAGACTCGGAATCCCCGGCCCGGAGCGCTGTCCGCCCTCGCGAGCGGTAGGCGGCAACATCGGCCCCAGGTCGTCGTCGTCATCATCATCATCAACGTCATCGCGCTCCTCCTCCTCCTCTCCATCCCTGTCCACATCTTCCTCAGTCCTCCCCAGCGGCGCATCCTCCGGAGCCCTCTCCTTGGCAGCCATGAACATCTCCGGATCATACCACCCGGAGCTCAACTCCCCGCGGTTCCACTTCCCCATGAAACTCTTCCACCGACCCCGGACCTCCCGCTCGTCCATGTCGCGCATGTCCTTCTGCTTCTGCAGGTCCAGGTAGTACGCCAGCAGCGGCCTGAAGACGTCCAGATCGTTCTTCGAAAGCGCGCGCGCGTCGTACGGCAGCGCCGCCGCCGCAGAAACGTCTTTGCTGCTGCGCGCGCTGCTCTCCCGCGGGCTGTCCCGGTGGTGATGCCGGTGGCTCCTGTGCCGATGGTGGTGGTGCCGTCGCCCCTCATCCCTCTCCTCTTCGTCGGACCTCCTCGGCCTCTTCGCCCGATGCTCCTCGTCGACCGGCGACCGCCGTCTGACATCCCCGCGTCTCCGCTCCGGCGATCTCGACCGCGACCGATTCCGATTCCGATCTCCCAGCATGACGGTGCTCCGTAAAACTTTCTTTGGTGTGTTCGGTGCAGATGAGACGGTGATAAGAAAAAGGCAAGGCAAGCCGATGGAAGGTCAAGGGGGTTGGCGAACAGATGTCCAGACTTGGGACAATCAAGCTTTTCCTCACAACCAACACGTCAAAACACGCCCCCTTGGTCCCAACTTCCTTGTGAGGAACGGACGGTAGCTGACAGGGATCTCCCTACAGGCGCGAATCGTCACCGCGTCGGTGGGGTCGCCGTCGTTTTGTTTGACTACAGTTTCAGTGCGTTTGGGACCCGCAATCCCGCGAAAAAGAGTGCGAAAGCCAGCCGATCAGCCGAGAGTTCGTTCGCCGTCTGAAGAATATGGCGAAAGGATTGACGAATGTAACCGTTTAATCTTGCTGATGCTGCAGGCAATGGAAGGTTAATTGGGGGGCAATTCGGATGAGCCGATGCTGTGCGTTCCTCTTTGCTTTTTTGGTCGTTCGGCGTTTGTAGTTGTTGAAAGGAAGAAAACGCCCACCGTAGCGGGCAGAGAAAAAGGCTGGGGCTCTGCGCTGGGTGGCTGGGTGGCTGGGCACCCGGAGCCGTGGGTACCCCAAATTCGGCCCCGGAACTTACCACCTCCCCCGGCCAGAAGGTGCCGGCTTCCCCTCATGAATTATCAACGACGGTCCCCGAGAACGCCCTGCACCCCGGTCGTTCCATATCGCCGGGTCTGTCAGCCACGTCCCTGTCGAAATTGAGATGTTTCAACGTTCAGCAACCCAGGCATGACTGTCAAGGAGGGCAAGAAGCGAGAGACTTGGAAACAAGAAATGGGAGTGATAGACAGCGACGTATATTCGTCAGGACGTAGCCTGATCCCGAGATCTGTAGAACCTCGATAAAACCTCTATACAACATAATCTTCGACAGCCAATGGCGGGTATCGACATTGCAAAAATGAACACCGAACGATGCAGAGACCTTATCACGGCAGAAACATGCCGGCCTTCCAGACCATTCCCGTTTCCCATCATCCCAGCCATGCCATCGTAAACATATACCACGAACTTTAAATCTCATTCTACGACAACTCCCAACGGGCTTCCCCTCCTCGTCTTCATGACTCGGGTAAAGGATTGTTGTGTATCGTGCAACCGAGACACTGGCAGTCGTCGCCGCAGGGACACGACGAAGTCTCGCCGGCGCAGCCATCCCCGTCAAAGGGATACGTGACGAAGAAGAAGTCGCTGGCTGACAGCGCCTGTTCCTCGCTCAAGCCCGACGCGGCATCCGATGGCGTCTGCGGTGCGGGGGGCGAGCCGCCGCTCTCGCCGTTTGTGTGTTTTTCGACTCCACGGACTCCAGCTCCGTTGGTTGTCGCTTCCGAGTGCCCGTTGGCGCCGTGGGTACCGTTCGTACCGCCATTCGTCGCTGCATATCCATCCTCCATCATGCTGTTCCACGCAGACCGCACGTAATCCTGAGTCGCGTCGTTATAAGGGTGGGCAGCACATCCGACACACTGACATCCGTCGCCGCAGCTGCACATGTGCGATGTCGATTCATCCATGGCGAGATTCGTGCCTTCAGGTACAAAGCCAAGGGGCGCGGGCATGTTGAATCCTGCCGGTTGTGGCGAAGGCTGTCCGTACTGCAGAGCCTCCATTGTCTGCCTCCATTGAGCAGGTTGCAGAGGCGACATGTAGGATCCGTACTGCGGCGGGTAGGTGAAGATGGTAGGTTGGAAGTAAGACTGATACATGCCTTGTGGCATGGCAATTGGTGTCTGGAAAGGGGATATGGCCATTCCGTTTGGTGACATATGACCGTTCAAGTGGCCGTTCGGAGCCACATTCGTGTTGATTGGCGGCGCTGCTTTGCTGGAGCAGCAGCCGCCCGTCTTTGGTTTCGGCTGAGTCTTTGGGCTCGATGTGACGCTGGACGATTGCGTTGTGGTGCCTTCACTTTTGCTCGCTCCTCCGCAACATGAGCCCCCTGTGCTAGCGGTTGTCGGTGTAGGCGCCGGAGGCGCAACGGGAGCCTTCGCAGCTCCTCCTCCGCAACAAGAGCCTCCATTTGATGCCTTTGGGGGCGCTGGTGGTGGCGTCACTTTCGGTGTGCTCGCTGTTGATACTGCACCATTCTGTGCCATCATCGCCCCTGGTGGAAACATGCCGGGCATTTGCGGGAACATAGGGTACATGATGGGCTGGTGGAAGCCTCCGTTGACGGCGCCCATCATGGACATGGCCCCGTACTCCATCCCGGGCCTTGGCGCCTGCATGCCCGCCATTCCGTTCGCGTGGGGCAAGGCGTTCGCCTGCGCCATGTCGTAGGGCGGCAGGATGTTAACATGAGCAGCGTCCATTCTCTCCAGGTTGGCCGGGTCGAAGGACTGTTTGCGACTGGCGGCTTTGGCGGCCGGTTTCTGGACTCGGAAGGAAGCGGCGGGGGCCTTTGTCGGGGACATTGGCGGGGCATCGCTGGCGGGCGACTCGGCCTTGACGACGCTGGATGTGGCGGACGACTCGGTGGGCGTGCCGGCGGTACTCGAACCGCAGCCGCATTTTTGCTTCCTGGGGATGGCGGCGGTGACGCTGCCGCAGCCGCAACCGCGAGCGGGCGGGTGAGGACATGTGCTGAGCGGGCGACCAGGCTTTCGTACGGGGACCATCAAACGCTCATTCGCGTGGGTGCATTTTGTGGAACGATGACCACGGATGCATGGCTCACTGAGCGACGAGCGCGATCACAGGTCAGCGTCTTCAGGGTCTCAAAGTCGGGCGATGCGGGGTTGGAGTAACAAGCAGACAAAGCGCAGTGTTCAATAAGGCAGTGAGCGCGGAAGTGAGGAGGGAAATGCGACGAGGGGCGCGACAGGAGGGATGGACGGCAACTTACCAGGCCATCTTCTGGCCGTTGATGAGCGGCATGGCGGGCGGTGGTTTGGTGATATCGGTGTCTGGCGAGGCAGGTAACGGAGGGAGAAATTTTGGCGAGTATCGGCTCGTGGGAGTGAAGACAAGGACGATGAAGCTCACGAAAGAAATCGAGCAGCGACGATTCTCGCTTTGGCTCTGACTCCTGCAGACCTTGGACCCTTGGAGTGAGCCGCAAGGTGAAACATGGAGGCGGGCGCCGGTTCGAAGGGTACAGTGTCCGTCTAGCAGGCAACGGATGTAGTCAGAGGTGATTGTACGTATCGCATTTGCAGTTTGGCGGAGGGCTGAGGGCGACGATCGATGAGCCGGTGTGGTTGAGAGTGAGTGTTCAGGACGGCGAGGGTGGGCGAGGTGTTGTTCAGTGCAGTCAATCCGACGACGATACAGGGCGGGACGAGAGACCGGAGATTGGAGATTGGCGAGAAAATGGAACGGCGGCTGAGGAATGTGGAAGAGGTGAGTTGACTGAACTGCAGTCTGGGTCGGCGAAGGTAAAGAATGGCAGCCCAGGCAGGCCAAAGTGCACTTGACAAGGACTTGGAAGCACGAGCACCAGCACCAGCACAAGCGTCCGGGACGGGAAAGCGAGTAAGGCCAAAGGTACGACTCAGACGCAGCGGCGGCGGCACGGGCACGGCGGCAGAAATGTTTGTGGAGGGATGGCAGCAGTTGTTAAGGCCGGGGCGGTCGCTAAAAGAGAGAGAGCAGCCCCTCCAGGCTCTACCTAGGGGAGGCAACAGAAACGGGCTGGTGGACCGTTTAGGTGGACGGACGTCGGGGATCGGCCTGCAAGCCCAGTCCACACTTCTGGCACCCTGGGCCAACATTGGGGCTGTTGCTTGGTATCTCTTTGTGTTTGCAACATGACGACAGGAGACTGATGGTTTCTCGATCCTTGAGGTAGGTATGTTACTAAGGCAAGGTTGACAGATACAGTAATCAAGGAGAGCCAGGGAGAGAAGTAGGTAGAGAGTGGACAGAACAGAGACATGACCAACACCAGCCAACACCAAAAAACCACCTCACAACAACACTACCAGCGGCTAAGGCAGAGCCCGCTAGAGCAGGTATCTACCTTAGATACCTACCTACCTAAGGTAGGCGGCGCTCGCACGGGCGGGCTGGCTGCTGTTGCTGTTGTTGGCTGCCCGCCCGCTGCCCAGGTGCCCTGCCCGCCCAGCTTGTCGGCGGGACAAGAGCGAAGCGGCGATGGGAAGCCGCCAAGGATCCTGGTAGCGCATCGAAACAGCCCCACGTGCGGGGGGTTCTTAGCGTCTTCACAGGCACCGCACCGCACTCCAGCCCGCACCGCACCACCTACCACCTGCACCATGCCCTGCACCACCACCCGACCTCACCCACCCACCTACATGGCATGGCACATACCTACATACCTTAGTATGTAAACCCATCTATCAATCTCGCTCGTCCGCTCCTCACGCAAGCGCCTCAAGGACTCATCACCCCAACATGAGATTGCTCGCTCGGCCTCACCTCACCTCGCCTCGCCTCACCTTGCCCTGCTCAGACGGGCAACTCTCTGACCAACGCTGACAGCTACATCAATACCATCCATCCGTCCCAATCCCATCTAATGCCGTCCCATCTCAGGGTCCCTGGACGTCCTTCAGTGCGGCCATCCTCACTCTTCCACCACCTACCGAAGTGACCTCACACTTTATATACATAAGGTATCTGAAAGGTCCCTGCCGCTACCGTACCCGACGTCTCCCGCGGGAGGAGAGGGGAGGGAGGGGTAATCAATCGGGTCGATAAGTGAGGGCTGCGTGCTCGGCGCATGGACTCTGCCGCGGCCCTGCCGCTGCCATGCCATGCCTCGTCATGGTCGTCTCGTAGGTTGATGGTGGTGGTGCTGCCGCCACGAGGCGACGACCAAGTCTAGATCCCGTTTGGATCCCAACCTCCATCACCGCATCTCTCCAGCCCAGTCTGATGTACAGAAGAGTAAGTGTCTACCTAGACACTCTTAGACAACCATCTCCCGCCCCGAGACGAATCCAACTTCACCCTGCCAGGGATACGCCGACAAAGATACACGAGGACTAATAACAGC